CCATTTAGAGACCAGTAAGTGCTGGTAGGTGCTCACCTTCCATTTAGAGACCAGTAAGTGCTGGTAGGTGCTCACCTTCCATTTAGAGACCAGTAGGTGCAGGTTGCAGAAAGAGTGGGCCCTTCTTGGAGATCCAGGAAGGGGCTATGGGCACCATCCTAGAAAAGGGGTCTGAAGCTCCATGGAGCCCTCCTGCCTGCAGGAGCCACAGAGGGCCCTGGGTGAGGCCAGCCTAGGTTCTCTGTCCTGTCCCTAGTGCTTGAGTCCTGCCTCACCTGCTAGCTTTTTCCACCAAGAAATAAGGATGGCAACCCCCAGTGCAGCCCCACTAGAGGAAGGATATCAAGAGTGTCAAGGCCCACACCCACCTTGGTACATTAAGTGACTTTTTGATTAACTAGTCAGTAAGTTAGAGTGGAATGTGCTGCTGCGATCCCCTGAGATCACATTCTAGGAGAAAACCTGGGTGGCACTTGCCTAAGGCTGTACATTGGAGGAAGGATGGTCAGGCCACCTGGGCTTCAGTGAGCATGTGCCCCCAGCCAACCCAGGGAGACATGGGCTTGGCAAGAGCAGGCAATAAGGGTGGCATACAGCAGACATGGTGAGCTGTCAGGTGGGCACAGAGGGGTAGGCAGGAGGAGTCCCTGAGGGGGACTCCTGAACTCAGCCCAGAGATCCCCCAGCTTTTTGAAACACAGGCTGTACCTGGAGCTGCAGAGTGAGCATTGTGCAGTCGCCTGGTAAAAGTGGGATGAGCAGCCAGTCTTTCATTGCCCATTTTTCTGATGAGCACTTTGAGTCCCCAAAGCCACAAGCCAGGAAGAGCAAAAGCACTGGGCTGAGGCATCACCTTTTTTCTTCACTTGGCTCCTATGAGCCTCAGATCTCCCTGGGCATGCCTTTGAGGAAGAAGATCTCTCCTGTGAATGTAGGCATAGAAGCAGCCAGTCATGTGTGGCGTAAGCTCACCCACAGCCACTTTTGTGGGCCCACCTGGGCCTCCTCACTTCACTGGCCTGTGAAACCCAACTGGAATTCCCGAGTCCAGAATCCACATTTGGTTCTAGAACCAAAGTGTTCAGCATCCAGGCCAGAGCAGAAGTGGGCCTGTTAGTCCCACTGCACAAGGCCCAAATCAGAGAACTGGCTTGACTGTTCAGCTGTACCCAGGCAGTGTGTGTACTGTTCCAAGCAGGTCCCGTTCTCTTCCTGCCTCCAATTATTTCACCTGCAACTTGTCATTTATACCAGCTTTTTCTCTACCCCCTCATCCTATGGTTTTTTGAAATTCCCCTGAAGACTGCATGAGCTAAGCTTTAAGGGTCACAGTACTCTAGCCTACTCAGGTTGTGCCAGGAAGAGAGATCTCTCAACCTACTTTGACTCTTAAGAGTCATGTATAAATAATACCAACTCAGCAGGAGGGCTGTCACATACTCAGACTTTGCTGGTCTCCATATCAAAAGATACGTTAGAATGACAAGGAAAATGAGACACAGACCTGGCAGTTCTGCCTTTTAAAGAGCAGCCGCAGCCTGGTCACCTTGAACCACAATTCCAGAGACTGGTTCAGCATGTCCCACCTTGGAAAATGGTGGAACTGGGGCCTCAGAATGTCGTGGTCCAATGAAAGTCTGGAAAAGAGGCACCTCAGCAGCCTGTACACACCCAGTCACACCTGTAACGGGAACAGGCCCTACCAACTATGAAGCCATCTCATTAACTTAGACAACTGTACCAGCAATGTGCACACACTTCAAGCCTTTAGTAAACTGTCAACCCAATGATTCAAGAAAAAGCAAATACTTTTTTGAATATAGTCTCAGGAAGAAGAACCTCCACTGCCTGAACCAGCCTGTATGATGGATGCAACTGATAGTGTTAACTTGACTCGGGCATACCTGGAGACTGACCATGTATAAAAAATGCTTCTGAATGTTCAGAGTTTTAAGCTAAAAAATCTAGCAGTGGCCAACCTGGAGATTGTTTTTTATCTATGAGGAACATCTGAGCCCCTGGTCTGTCCCATCCTGTGGCATGGAACATAGGCCACACAGGGAATTGAGGCCATTCCTTTTTTGTTAAATGAAGTCTGACAGGTGAAAGGTTGCTCAGAAAAAAAGTGCTAAATAAAAATGCTATACAAACTGCATGCTTTCTGCAAGTGGGCATGGTTATCCTGCTAAGCCCACTGACACTGGACCTTCTCCCCTCTATGTAAGTCCCCAGTAAAACTCCATATCTCATTCACTGGTTCTGAGTCTCTTCTTTGACATCTTGAACCTGGTGCCATTTCCATGGGAGTCGAATTTGACATAACTTACCCCATAGTGAGGAAGGATTTCCGAGTGCTCAGTGTGCTTCAAAACTCACCAAGGCATCGGCTATAGAAGGATGCAGTTGTTCTCTTTACCACGCTCATCCATCTCATCTTTTCCTTAGATGCACAGTCAGTGGAATACCAAGAAAGATGACTAAGAAACACATCGTGGTCAGAAGCATGATTAATGCCAGAATAAGCAGTGACCACTTGGAAAGGAAAAGGGAGCATTTTTCTTTCTCCTGTGGGCAGCCCCCAACTTCTGTCATTACTTTCTGGATTCAGGAATGATTTTTAAGCTCATCCTGCCTCTGGAGGACCCATGGGTCCTGAGTGGTAAACACCTTCACTTAATCCTGCAACAAAGCTTTCTCTTGACAAATACGACCTCTGTGATCATGAGCTTCTAAGCAATCTGGACAGTGCACACCCTGAAAACCTATGAAAGGGAGATGAGTAGGTCTGAGGGAAACAATTTCCCACTTTTTCCCTTGGCAAGTTGAAAACAATTATGATGGCAGACTATAACTCCTCATCATGTGAGTTTACAACCAAGGGTTTTTAATCCTAGCTGTGAGAGCTCCAAGTGAAAACCAGAAGTTACTTCACTGCATCTATCAATGCACAACATTTTGTCTATCATACTGAGGAGTCTTCACTGAAGATTTTCCCATTGAACATATAAAGACAGGAAAGGGTAAAATAGCAACTCTGTGAAATCGTTAAATAAGATGTAGAAATGTTCATTTTTGCACATATTTGCATGTATATCTACCCATAAAGCTGACATTTTCATAATAAGTTATATGTCAAGTTAAAAAAAAATTTTTTTCTCAGCTGGGCACGGTGGCTTACACGTGTAATCCCAGCAGTTTTGGAGGCCAAGGCAGGTGGATCACCTGAGGTCAGGAGTTCGAAACCAGTCTGGCTAACATGGTGAAACGCTATCTTTACTAAAAATACAAAAAAAAAAAAAAAAAATTAGCTGGGTGTAGTGGCAGACACCTGTAATCCCAGCTACTTGGGAGGCTGAGGCAGGAGAATCACTTGAACCCGGGAGGCGGAGGTTGCAGGTTGCAGTGAGCTGAGATCACATCACTGCACTCCAGCCTGGGCAACAGAGTAAGACTCCATCTCAAAAAACAAAAAAAACTTCTTTTATAACAAAGAAAAGACACATATGGTCGAAACATGCCCTGCTGCAGTGGAGTGGGTGTGGCCCTCTCCTGGGAAAGAAGTCAGTGCCCTGGATTATGTGTGGGGGATCCATTGGGACACAAAGAGGGAGTCAGAGTCTTGGCCTAGCAACACTAAGACTTGCAGCGGGCTTCAGAAAGCAGCAGAAATGGCCCATGACACTGAATGCTAGATGGGCCTGTAACAATGAAAGATCTGCCCAGGGATCTTAGCAATCCTGCTAGGAGGCCCTGACTATACTCTGGGTTGGAGACTCCTGGGGTAGAGTGGCTGCCAGAGAGCCTCAGCAAACGAGTCTTGACCACTATGGCTAAGCCAATCTAAAATAGCTCATCCCTTCTGTTTTACAAAGCAAAATATAGAAAAATAAAGTGAAACAAATGAAATCAAGAGAACGAAAATGAAATATAAAGATAAATTTAAAGTAATTAAGAAATAGTAAGGACAAACTGAAATAAAGAAAAATAAACAAATGTGATTAAGATCAGTGAAAAATAAAATGAAGATAATAAATACAATAAAATCAAGAGAAATGAATAATTTGCAATAAAACAAGAAAATTTTAAGAATTAGAAAAATGAAAAAAGAAATGTGGAGAAAAATAATAGGGGATATGAATGGAAATAAAAGAAACAAAAACATTAAATAAAACATTACAAGCAAGAATTCTAGAAAATTTGAAATGAGAATGTAATGAGAAAAAAGAAAAATAGAAATAAAATTAATAGAAAAAAATGAAAGTAAAGAAAAAATAAAGATAAACGCAAATGCAAAGGGAAATAAAAGGTTAAAAAGAAAAATAAGACCTGGGAATAATCTACAAAACATTTCACCCAACAATAACATAATACATAATATTTCTAATTGCGTATGGCACGTGTACTAAGATAGG